GAATCGTATTCCATTTACGATTAATTAATCGGAGAGCCGATTAATTAATTATAGCGCCCGATTCCTAAACCGCTCGTATTAATAGATGGGATGGAACAGATCTAGTACTAGAACTAGAATTAGAAAAAATAAATTAATTATATTTTAATATATTAAAAATTATATTTTTAAGTTTTTTATAAATTTATATAACTATTATTAGAATAAAAGTAATTATTATTTTATTTTTTATTAATTAATAATATTATATTTTAAAATATATATAAAAATACTAAATTAATTTATATAAAGTTTTTAATATATTTAAGAAAAATTATATTATTCTAATAATTTAAAAACAATTAAATTTAGTTTAATTATTAACTTCTACTATTTCTTTATTTGTATTTTTTTAACTAAACCATTTATATTTCTTTTATTTGAATTATTTGAATTATTATTTTCTTTTATTATTAGTTATTTTTATATAATTATTTTAATTATATTTTTTCTTATTCTTTTTTATATATTCTTTTTATTTAGTAAAAAAGTATTTAAAACAATCTAATAAACTATAAAGTATTATTTTAATAAATAGATTTCTTAATAATTCTTTTTAAATATTAATAATAAAATAAATAAAAATAAAAGTAATATTATTTATTATTCGAGAAATACTTTTTAGATATATTAGAAATATTATTTATATTTATTATTTAAGCTTATTTATATACTTTTAATAAATAGATCTTTTTTATATAAATTTCTCTTTTTTTAAAGCTAGAATTTCTTTTATTATATTTGTAATTTAACTAGTTATTTTTAGAAAAACTAGTATTTATAATAATCTTTATTCTTTTACTAAAATTCTTTTTTTTCGAGTTTTTAAAAGTAAGAATACTTTAGAATATTAGCTTAATTTTAATTTAATATAATTATTAATATAAATAATGGCTTTAATATTCCTGAATTTTTATAAAAATTAGAAAATAAATTATTAGCTTTATTATAATTTTTATTTTCTAAAAAGTATATATTTTTAGGAAAATAGTATTATTATATAATTCTATTTATATTTAGAAAGTTCTTAATTATAAATATATTTTTATTTTCTAGAAATTTAAATAAATTTTTATTTAAATATAATTTTATAGCTTTCTTTATTATAATTCTAATAAATCTAATAATATATATATATTTATTAGTAATAAAACAGAATTCTAAAAGCTTTTTAATATCGGGTATTTAGTAATATATATAATTTCTGAATTATTTATAATTAGTTTTATTTTTTAGATTTTATAAAAAATTATTCTAATATTTTTCCTTTATTTATATTAACTATAAATTATTTTTCTATTCGAAACTATTTAGAAACTTAAATATAAACTATAGTTTATATATTTTTTTAAACTAGAAATACAAATTATTAGTAATAAATTAAATAGAATTAAAAGAATATATTTATTTAATTAATATATTCTTTAATTTATATATTATTAAAAATCAGGAATTATATATTCTATAGTTTACTTTTAAATAGAAATATAATTTCCAGAGTTTTAAGAAAACTAAAACTTTTCTAGAAAAATATAATAATTCAAGCTTTATTTTAATAAATTATAAAACCCGGTTTTATATTTCTATATATCTTTTACTTAAAATTATATTTTTACTAATTAATAGATCTTTAATTAAGTTATAATAATTTATAAAATAGCTATTATATTTTTAGATAAGAATTAAATTAAATTCCTAAATAAGAAAAACTATAATACTTAAATTATTAATATAAAAGCAAAGCTATAATAAAAGAAGCTATAAATAGTCTACTAGACTTCTTTTTTTACTAGTACTTTTATAGCTATAAAAAAGAAATATACTAATATTATAAATATTCTTATTCTAATACTTTTTAAATTTATTAAAATTAAGCTAATAAAAGCTAAATGGAATAATAAATATCTCTTATAAAAGAAGCTTAAAGCTTTTTATATTTTTATAAAAAACTAGCTATTTTATATTTCTATATATAAGCTATTTTCTTTATAATTTAATTTAATAGAAAATAATACTAATTTAGAAAACTTTATTACTCGAATTAAAGCCTTTAATAAGAAGATTAATTTTATAAAAATAGAGTTTACTATTAATTATTATATTTTTCTTATTCTTATACTTGGACTTTCTTTAATATATAATATATTAATATAGATTTGAAATATAATATTAGATAAAATTACTAAAAAGAAAGTAATAAGGATACTATAGGCTAAAGATTAGAGATTATTAAAAAGAAAGAATAATATAATAGAATATATAACTATAAGAGAAATTAAGAAAAAGGCTAAAAAAGAGCTTATATAAAAAGAGCTTATATAAAAAGAAAATAATAAATGCCTCTTTTTCTGGTCTATTTACCTAAAATATAAATAGTAATATCCTGGAATCTATTAATCTGAAATAACTTATAATATCTATAAAAGAAAAAAGTACCCAGATTATAAATACTATAATAAGAAGCTTTATTTTTTTTATTATACTAGTAATTCATAATATAAAGAGGAATATTAGAGGATTTATTCTAGCTTTTAATTTAAAGTAATTAGTTAGTTAGCTAATTAATTAATTATTTAGTTAATTAGTTAATTAATTATTTAATTACTATTTATTTAGGTAAATATTTAATTAATTAGTTTAATTAAAACAAAGAAATCTATTCTTAAATAGAAATATCGAAAATTAGAAGCCGTATATTCTATAATCTATTTTTAAATAGGGATATAATTTCTAGAGTTTTAAGAAAGCTAAAGCTTTCTTAAAAAAATATAATAATTTAAGCTTTATTTTAATATATACCGGAAATAATATTAGTTATAGAACTAATTCTAAGAGAAATATATATAGACTATAATTCTAATATAATTACTATATAATTCGATTTTTTAAAGATATTATTTATAAGCTTTCTTTTTTTAATATAATATTATATAATATTAATAAAAGTAGTTTTAAATTTATTTGGCCAAAATATAAAAAATATTATTATTTCGGTAATTAGAACTTTTTCCTATATAGTAAGCCGTATATATATTATTATTATTAATAATAATAATAATAAATTATTAGTAAGAAAGAAAGTAATTTAAATTAGGAGTTTTACTAATTAAGAAGTAAAGAAATAAGAGATTAGTAAAGCTGAAAATCGAGGCTAAATAAGATATTAGAGATTAATCTAAAAGCTCTATAATTATAATAGTTATTGAGTTTTTAGATTTTGTAAAATACTTTTAAATTATTAAAAGCTAGCTCCCAAATACTAGTATTGAATGCTAGAATTTGGTTGTTAGCAAATGCTAGTAATAAAAAGACGTGTGTTTGTATGAAATGGGGCCTTAGGCAAGAAATATTAAAATCTCTAGTTTTTGAAAATTGCATATTGTAGTACTACTAAGTCCGAATACTTTAAATTAAGCTTTATATAATAGTAAAGAAGTCAAAGTATCTTTTATTACGGTTCTGTGGTTCTAAACTTTTAGGGAGTTTTATTACGATTTTTTAAAGGTGAGGGAATGATTTTCAAAACTCTCGCTTAGCGCAACGGACGGTTTTCAATTCGGCGCGCCTTTGTAGTAAGTACCTTTCATGACTTACCCATGACCCTCGAAGGTATTTGAGCTCAATTAAATAAAAGCTCGCAAAGCCTGTGCGTGTCTTAGAATTAATTTGTAACTTTATAGTAAAATTTAAACTTTAAAGCTCCGAAAATACGAGCCGGAAGCTAGTATTATCACGTATCATAAATTCCCCAGGAATTATTCAAGGTATAGGCACACCAAGTAATACGTACATGATTTAGTGCGCGTGACATTAGATTATAGTAATCAACATACATTTTTCACAGAAACTCCCTGTTCATTTCCATTTCTGAAGACATTGTCGACAAGTCTAACTTCGCATCAAGAATTTTGGTGGGGGATTCATTAGCCGGAACACTTGATGAAAATTCATGCAGGCGTTTTAGGTAAGTGATCTCATTCACACTCTATAGCGAAGACTAGATGTGCTGCTGTATGATCTGGGGTCTCATTACGAAGATTGCGGCATAAAGTGACGGGATTACAGGGCATTTGTACCGCAAGTCCACTTTCAGGCCACTTTCTACTACACTCACCCACTAAAGTCCCCTATATTTCCAGGCTACTCTCCTATAAGCACGCTATAAACTATAAACAAGGGGTACCACACCTTTAGAAGGCATATCCCCTGTACTTACAGGGGAATACTCGCTACAGGGTCCTATAATAGCTCTCTCACAGCGCCCGAGCGCTACGGTTGCTCCGCCAGCAACACCATAACCCTTGAAGATTTTCCACCACCTTGGAAATGTCTCACAGCCCTTGTTTTAGGGGTTCAGGCCTAGAGTTACAAGGCTTATAGCAGGCGCAGTACCTTAAGCCACACCCTGGAGTCCGCTAACACCCCTATGCGAACGTAAATGCCCTGTAATCCCGTCACTTTATGCCGCAATCTTCGTAGTTGTCGCTTATCTCCATATCCAAAGATAGTAGCTGGTAGTGGCACCGTAGTGCTCGGACAGCAACCTCATACCGGAATATTGGATCAGATACCATCAACTTGAACCACATGAGGTCAGGATTTTCTTCGAGAACCTGAAAGAGTATTAGCAGAGCCTGAAGCCCACTCGTAACTCGGGAAGGATCACAATCGCAGTAGATAAATCCCCAGACGAGCGGACCTACAAGGTTAGCGTGGAAGAAGTCCGTTCAAGGGTGAAATAATGAAAAACGGACTTAGACACCCCGCATCTCAGGCACATTTGCAAGTGGCACGGATGGTCTAATGCATTTCGGAAGGGCGAGGCCGAGGACGCCGCCAGTGGGTTTTCAGATTTGATGGAAGCATGTGGTCGCGGTCTCTGGGAAACCCAATCCGATGACTGGTAATTGGCATATGTAGTGTTTCCTTTGGTATGGCCTGGCAGCAGTATGGGTATATTGCTTCAACGTGTTGCATTTATCTTATTATCAGAATGATCTACAATCATCTTTCATAACGGAACAACCGCTTGCTGTCATCTACCAGTATCACCTTAAGTCGTAGCTTTTCTACCCCGAGACTCAGCGCCGGCTCAAGACCAAACATCAATCATGTCAAGGAGCGATCAGCATTCTAAATCTTACAAAGTATGCTGCATTTTAGAATACGGAGATTCCCGCCCTTTAGGCTGCAGGTTGTGATCTCCCAGTCATGAACAGTGATTCACTCTTAATTTGATCAAGAAGATTTCGAGTTAATAAGCATTACTCGGTGATTCCATCATATCGAGTTGGGTCAAATCGGCGTCAAGTATCGGTATCAAGCTTGAATTTCCTGCCAAATAATTGTCAAACAATGTCGACATGTTGCTCAAATGATCCAGCTGAACGGGATCCCAGTCCTCCCGGAAACCAAATTGAGCACTCTCGTCGTTTTGAGCTGCTTCTTGGTTATAATCTAGCGTTTTTTTGTCTTGAGTTTGCATTTGCCTTGTTGTGGCTGTTGGTTTAGTACTCAGACTCTGCTCAATGCAGGACCGGGCACCCTTCAGCAATATCTTGCATATGTTGTATAGTTTCGTCGCACCAGGCGCCTGTCGTGATGCCCTCTCAAGGGACTCGACCACTTGTGCTAGGAGATTCATATCCTCGTAGTCTATGTTCAAAATGGCTGTGCCCAGAATGACGATGAATGGGGTGAAGGGACAAAATGCAAGGTTCCTAAGGCGGAGGGAATGATGGTTAGACGAGGCAGTAAGGGGAGGGATTGGGGGGGGGAAGGAAGAGACAATAACGAACCAATCAATGTACATTCGAATAGAATAGTCTGATCTTGCGAAGAATAGCAAACATAGCCTTTGGTGCAGCTGAAGTGCTTCCCTTGCAGTCGAGATGCATTCTTCGGGGAATCGAAGAGGATGATCAGGCTGTGGCGTTGGAAGTGCTCGGTAAACCAGGGTCAAGTTCGCCAAGATAGTCATCTCAGTGTCTATGTGAGGCACGTTCAATTCGGTTAATTGCGCAAAAACATCCTAGAAAGTGTGTGTTAAAACAAGTTCAAATTCGCAGATAACCTAGAACTTACCTGGCACCGCCGCTGCAACTCTCGAAGTTCCTGAGCCAAACCTCTCGCCACGTTTGCTCTCGACTCGAGACTCTCCAGCTGACCTTTCGCAGAATAAAGCTTTTCATATATGCGGCTCTGCACTTTACCGAGGTCCATCCAAACTATATACGTAACAGTGATTGGAGTATTCGGGAAGTTTGGGTACGTAACCGTAATGTCGAAATCCGAGAAATTCGAAGTTCGACCAAAGTTCAACGAAAGTGCTTTGTCTAAGGAATATGTGAACCAAAAGCATACTTTCTTTGCCCTGAGGTCCGATGTTTCAGGTATTTCTGGGTCGTCCTGAAGTCGATTCAACCCGCTATCAAGGCAAAGTCGGGAAGCCAAAGAGAGCAAAGCCCAAGCTTTTTGAAGTTTCGATTGGCAGATAAGTATCTGAACCTATGATCACGCGTTACTCCCAGTCATGCCATGGCTAACAAAAGCCACACTCACTGAGATCAACAAAGCATCGATATTGGTAACTGTAGGCTCGGTGAAAGGATTTATTCGCTCTATCAATAAAGCAATATTGCTCTCGCAAATCACGATACTCCGCGTAGCCTCAGCCAGATCGATGTCGCATACTTTGAGCTCAGTTTCAGTTGCGTTGCACAGGATACTCATTAGCCCGCCATTTACGAGAAGGAAGTCTGAAATTGAATAGCCCTTGATTGGAAAATATACTGATTGGCAGATTTCCTTTAGTTTGCTTGCATCTGCCATTGGCATATAGTGCAAGATTTCATCCGGAGAACCTGGCCAAAAAAAGTCAGAATTGAAAACGCAGCCTGATTAGACGGATTAATGTGATTTAGTACATACCATCAATAAGGCGCAAAGCTTTAAGCGCAGTTTGTATAGGTACCATTGGGAGCTCGTAGGTGAATTTTTCTTGAGGGTGACTTGTTTTCTCTATGAGAATTTCCCGGATAGATTGCCAAACAGACGAAGCTCCATCACTACGGAAATTGGAAGGGGGAGTGCTCCTAAGAGCTTTTTCCAAAACTTGGCTTGTTTGTTGGGAATGAACTTCGAAAGAGGATTCCCCGAGGTAAGGAATGGTGCCTGAGATTGCTTCTTCAGATTGTATTGAACTTCGTCTGATATTTGACGAAGGCGGAAGGACGGGAGGCACTATTTGCGGTGCTAAGGGCTGGGGTCTAACTGGTGTAGTATCTTTTGTTAGGTTCGCAACCATACCTTGCAGCTGCGACAAGTGGGTGCTGATGCTTTCAAGATGCTCCTCACTTCGGGTTGATACGGTCAGCTCCGTTCAGAGGCTTGAAACAAAACAAAGAGTTTTAGCCTACTATTTGTTTGATATCAACACACGCTGACGTTTCTCTCTGGGCTGCCGAGAAGTCCAACATTGGATATTGGCACTTCTGCAGGCTGAGCAGGGGCTTAACTTGTCGCATCGTATCTGGAAGAATGTCAAGCAAATATGCCCAAGTTCCAGTTGGCTAGCTTACCTTTCTAGACTTGCATGCCTCACAGGCTCTTAGTTTTGTGTTGATCATGGAGTGGTCGGGCTCAGGAGTGGGCGTTGAACCTCCTTCTGCACTCATATCACGTGAGTTTCAGCTTTTCAGAGCCTACGCGGTTTAAGGGCGGTTTTGATAGCTCGGAAGGGGAGCTGATCTCCTTTGGAAAGGGCAATGAAGTAGAGGTTTGCGTGAGAGATGCCCCAACTTTAAAATAGGCGGATCACCAGGATTCCTCGGATTCCGCGGCTTCCGAGATTTTGAGTACCCCATTCGTACAATAGGCAGCCTCCTCGCTTAATAAGCGAATAGCACTGGGGCCACGACTCCCCAGCATTGAACGGAGTCGGACCAATACAATAACGGAGGCTGCGGATTTTTGTTCTTTACCGGCACGTGGTACTCACCAAACTTGGCCAAAGAACCATTCAACACCTGTACATAGAACAATGGTAACCCTTTTCCATGGATTTGCTGGGAATTTCCTCACATCTCGCCAACCGATGCCCTATTCATTCACGTACTCCAGACCACACGCGAAATACCCTTAGACTCAGGATTAATCTTCCCTTTCGCTGGTTTTGTTTTAGTCAAGCAACTGCTGCTTTAATCTGAGCCCAGGGTGAGCGAACCGATCAGAGCGTGAGCAGAGAAAGAACTATCACTAATTTATATTTTATGAAAAGTTTATATTTGAATGGCCCTTAATCAGTGCTATAAGAAGATTGAAAAAAGTATTTAATTCTATTCATTCTTATAAAGTAATTTAAATTTAAAGAGAAAGCTAGATTTTTGGTGTTCCCGTCCGAGCGCCTCTACTTTGGGTTAGTGGCCCCTATTTGACACCCTAATCGATACCCGGGGTTGTCGTTTTACATTTTCCCACTTGACAAGGCTGTCGCCCTCGATTCCTAAATTTTGACCTGTTGCCAACGCCGAGGCCTTCGAGTTGAATGACAAGGACCATGGCCCAACCCAAAAGCTTTACTTATCGGCCTTTGGGAAGGCGCCAGATCAGACTGGTAACCCTCCTTCCAGACGAAGACTCTCAACAAATCAGGTGTACACTTGACCACGTATCACTGAGCAGCAAGCCGAACTTTGAGGCCCTCTCGTGTGTCTGGGGGGCGGACGTTTTGCATGCGTCGATTTTGATCAACGGGGAGTTGTTCAGCATTCGACGAAACCTCTGGTTTGCTCTGTACCATTTCCGAGGCTCCAAAAAGGCAACTGGACGAGACGTCCGAAGAGATGAAGCTATGACAGCAACAAATCGGCGTGAGGAGACTAAGAAACCTGCTTGGGGAGATGGAGATTTCGTTGCCGAAATTGGGACTTCAGAGCCTTGGTATTCATCCCAAAATCTTTTCGGGTGGGGAAAAACATGGAAGTCAGGAATGGTGAACTCCATAGCCGTCGATAAGCCCTTAACGATTTGGATCGACGCAATATGCATCAACCAAGACGACATTATAGAACGGGGAGCACAAGTCCAGATCATGGGGGAAATCTACCAAACGGCATGGAGGCTTCGAATTTGGCTAGGCGAACATTCCTCAAACACCATTCCTGCTATGGAGAACTTTTCCCTCGTTGATAGGGGAACCAAGTTGTCTCTTGATGGTGACATTGATTAGTCCCTGTGAGCGGAAGACGAGAGCAACTAGGCTAATTCTTGCAGTTCCTGGGGGGCGGATATGGAACCAGACCTCAGAAGCCATATCAAGGCTGAGATATCGGGGTGGGGAGCGTATTGATCGCATAATCGACTTTTTATCCCAAGTCAAACGCGTGATAGATGACGACGAAATTCCTCTCACCAGGATCATCAGTAAGATCACCCTGATACTCTTCATATAACAGGAGCATCTCTAAATTGGCTTACACAGGTCGTGATCTACAAGATTTGGACGTCGCATGGGGGCAGTTGAAGGCGAACAGGCTCTATCCAGATCACGATGACCCAGAAGAGCTCCTGCAATCACTGCTGACCATGCATGACCTCACATACCAAGTTCTTTTGATATGCCTCCGAGCCAAAACTTTCTTGATTCCAAGTCGTTTGAGGGGTAAGATCTCCGGGTTATGTTTGAAGAGACATAACTGAAATCAAATAGAAATCAAAAGCCTGGGAGGGGGGGGGATTGTTGACGGCATCCGATTGGGAGAATGTAGAAGCTGACCTGAAAAAGATTTTAGGTACAATTGATGCGAAGAATCTCACAGTGGAATCTCTCGAGGGTAGTGTACCCTGTCTTTCCGGTTAGAAGAAACTATCAAGCTCATCGTTGCAGGATCGGTTCAAAGGTGTTGTCGGAAGGGTATATTAGAAATATGCCAGCGCCCCTACTGGAGCAGACTCTGGGTCATTCAGGAAGCAGTTCTGGGTTCCGAGCCGATTATTCACTGTGGCGCTTCTGTCTTAGGGTGGGCCAAATTTGAGAGGTTTCTAAATGCTACGTTTCTGAAAGAGCTTGAGGGCCTCACAATGTATGGCCCAGGGTATGAACTATCTCCTGAACTCGTTGAAATAATTGCCGGGACACCTGCAGTGGAATTTCTGAAGGCTTTCCGGGTTACGAAGTCTGGAGGCGTCGGCTGCAGCTCTTTGAGATATCTCATAACCTCTTTTGCTAGATCCCAGGCCAAGGACCCCAGGGACATGGTGTATGGACTCCTGGCTCTTTCCGACTCCGCTGAAGACACCGATAATTTTACACCCGACTACACCAAACCGCCACATGAGCTTTACGTGAAAGTCGTCAAGGCTTCTCTCTGGAAACGTGGCTCTGTCTGGAGTGGGGCTGATAACTATCTGGTCTCTTTCAGTCGTCTGCTTCAGCAAGTGTTCGGCGATCCTTTCTGGGACAGCAAATGTGATACACCCTTATGGATGAAGAACGTTATTCCTAGTAGTTACGACCTTGGTGAGATACTCGAGGTGGGGGGCCTCGTTGCGAAAAAAGTACAATGGGATCCGTGTAACACGACCATTTGGGAGAATGGTTCATTTGCAGGTTCTATGCCTGGAGATTTCAGATCCCTGCGACACGACTTACATAGTTCGCGACTCGAGCCAAAAGATTTTGCCTGGCTAAACCATGGTTCAACTTCCAACGCAAAAGATATTGTCCCACTAAACAACTTAGAAGCCCGCTCAATTCTCGAATTCAATAGTGGAAAACGAGCTCTAGTTTACAATCAGAAGTTTACTGCTCTTGGATATTGGGGTTCATCCCAAAGTGGCAGCGTTCTGTTGTCAACTCCTGTTCGCGAAGGAGAGTACTTGTGTTGTTTCAAAGACTGCCAGGTGGCTGCTATTGTTCGTGAGAATTGGCCCGGCGTATATTCTATTGTCCGCCATGCTATTGTGTGTGGCAAAGATCTTCATATATTGAAATATTGGATGGTGGAATACACCGTACGACTGAGTTCCGAGAGGCTTCAGATGTTGACCATGTGAGAAGGATAATAGAAAGAAGGGATTTCGGTATGATGAGCGCCATCTTTTCATTCAAATACTAACTGCAGCTGTAAAGGTTGCAGGTTCGTCTGTTGGCTGGTACTGGTAGGCCATTGTGGTTGCTCGAGCCCTGCCTCCTAATCCAACACTCACTCAGTATCGTCTGGATGGAAAACCAAAGCTCGCACCTCAATACTCTCCCTCGAGGCCTCACCCACACGTTCCTCATCAATAAAAGCACTATGCGGTGCACTCTTTGCCCTCCCCTCAGTCTTAGAGTCAAAAACACTTAATCAACAACACCTCTTTCAGGGTCTGCTTATTCAAATAATGCCACTTATGCGCCGGCCTCGCTCTCACCGAATACGTTTCTCCCTCACGATCAGGATAAATAAGCTTAAGGGGAATGAGCTCTTCATCAAGAACCGACTTGGCTTCGGCAACTCTCAAGGGTGTTTCAAAATTTGCTTGATGGGTCGCCAGACGTTGATGATTTGGTAACGTCCGCGAAGGAGAGTTTCTGCTTCGGCGGGGAGACGGTGTGTCACTCTTTCCGGGCCGACTTTGTAGGGTTGGTCGATGTGGGCTCGCTAGATGGGACCACGCAAGAGAATGGGCTTCTTCTCGTTGGGCTCGGTTTGGCTGCGTTGGTCATGTGATTCCCGGCGGAGAGTATGATCGAAGATGAAGATCTTTGAAGCGCCGGTACTGGAACCGTCAGTGAGGATTCCCAATCCAGACTTGTCGAGGAAGTTCTCTCGATGTCACTTACGCCGACTTCAACAATTTCTCGACTTCAGGATAATAGACTTTCTGGATCTGGTCGTCATCAATAAAATCCTTCTCTTTACTTTCATGATTCACGACTTGGTATATTGGTCTTCGGTGCTGCGAATGTCATAAACTGTCACGTCTTGTGGCAATGTTGGTCTGAATTAGCTTTCTGGCTTACCAACATAGTTTGGGGCGGGAGGAGATCCATCTTCGTTGTCTTTGAAATAATTGAATGTGGAAGTGAGGTTGAGAGTCTCGTAGGGTGCCTTGGGTGCCTTGTATAAAGAAGCCACTGGGGTGGAATGTTGCTCATAATCATCGAGATGCTTTAAGAAGTGGCTGAAAACTTGAGGGTCCTGAACATCTGCGGATGCCATTGTGCCTAAAAGTGACATAGAAATATAAATCAGTTTGAATGCTTCAACTACTTTGCGCGTTTCACTTTATTTTTTCTTTTGTGAATTTCCCGCTCATATATCCATATCACGAACGGGAACGGCATAACAAGTATCAATTATAATCATTGATTTCAAAACACCGGGGTTTTGAATTGTTTTGAATAACCCCGCACTAATATTGGGAATATGTAAAACGACACCCCCACGGGTGTTAACTCAAAGTAGAGGCGCTCGAACAAGAATACCAAAAATCTAGCTTTCTCTTTAATTTTCTTATGGCACTAATTAAGGGCTATTCCAATATAAACTTTTTATAAAATATAAATTAGTAATAGTTCTTCAAATTAAAGAAGTTTAAAAATAAATATTTTATAGCTTAAAGATAAACTTAAGAAAGCCTGGAAATTTAGCGAACAAGTCCCTAAAACTAAATATGACAGCCCTATAAGCCCCTATTTTGTAAGGCCTTATAGGGCCTAGAAACTAGAACTTAATTAATTAATAATTCCGTGCCTGGTGGGCGGGAATTATCAACCTTTATTCGTGCAAAGGCCTAGCCAATTTCAGTCATGTCAGCCTTTCTTCTACAAGTGCTCCGAATATATCATCAAAATGCGCTTGCACCGAGGCCCATGCACACAATCCATCGAGTTATGGCGCGCGGTGAATGTTTTTATCGTGTTTTACCGTTTTTCTCGATTATCGCATGCACCAGTCTTGGAGTGTTTTCCAAACCGCCCCAATCCCACTCTTAGCCAAGCCACAAAAGCACAAGGGCTCTCGGGAAGGTCTAGATGCCCCTGATCTCCCATGAATTCTGATCTTTCACTCCATCAGTGCCAGTGTTCTCAAAGCTCTCTGATTATCTCATGAAGATGCGTTTCTCTACCTCTTTCGCTGTTGCATCATTGGCATCAGTTGCTTTCGCAACTCCTGTCGACGACTCGACGTGCACTTGGACAGTGCTGCCATAGCACCCGCTACCTGCCCTTTGCCCCTCGCTTCGGGGGCGGCGGCCGCATGGGTTATCCAAAAGGTGAGTATTTCTGAGCACGATTGAAGAAACCTGAGCACACGTAGGAAGTCAGTCTGAGCAAGTATAAAGAGATATCTGGCGCTCATTTTAGCTCCCTCAAGGCCGGACTATACATTCCCCATAGTATCTTTATATACGGGTCGGGTTTCAGCCCCGACAGAGACTCCACCGAGACTGATTTTAAATTCGTACAGGATAACATGACAGAGTCACAAGCCCCATATTCAAATATCTTCCCCCGCGGACATGAAATACCAGAACGGTAGGTCTCAAAGGCTTGTTATCAGAATATCTAGATTGACTTCTCAAACAGACTAGACGAACAACATATCATCACGACTAAAACCTTCGGCTTCCTCGTCCATCCGAACATCCCACTCACCTCACCCGATCTCAAAATAGCAGACATAGGTGCAGGCACTGGAGCCTGGCTACTCGACGTCGCCAACAGCCTACCATCGACATGCCAACTTACCGGCTTCGACGTCTCATCATCCGCCTTCCCTCCATCTCAAACCTTACCCCCAAACGTGGCATTCAAGATTCAGGACATGCTCCTCCCCTTCCCACCTTCGGAGATAAGAACCTACGATATAGTCGCAGTGCGCTTCGTTAGCGTTGCAACAACGCGAATAGAGTGGGCTCGCGCGATTAAGAATCTGATCACGCTGTTGAGACCGGGTGGCTGGCTGCAATGGATCGACTCCTGCAATTTCGCACTCTACAATTCCGTTCCTGGAACTTCTCGCGCAGCGTGCCAGGAGATGTATGACGGTCTAGAGCCGTTTCGCTCCAAAAATGACGTCGCGATAGGCATGATGATGAGAGAGCCGAAGAATGTGAGGAGGGAAGATGTATTTCGTGGAATAGGCTTGGTTGATGTTCACGAGGATGTGTTTTCGACGGATAGGCTGCAGGATCCCGAATTACAGCTGAGAGATAAGGGAACCAGGAATGTAATCGCTTGCTTCATGGGATGTTTGGAGAGCTTGGTGGAGGTAGAAGGGAGTGGTTGGAGCAAGGAGAGGATTGAGAGGGTGAAGGAGGAGGCGATGAGGGAGGTTGATAAGGGGGTTTATCATACCCTTGATCAGGTGTGCATTATTGGGAGGAAAGCTTGAAAGACTTGATTCTGCTACTGGTGGTCATGCGTGTTGAGGATCAATACTTGATGGCACTTCAAAGGCAGGCATTCCATGCGGTTTGGGTTTACTGCAGCGAACAGCGCCATCAACATCCAGCCACTGCCTATTCACCATTATATCTATCATGAAGCAACCAACCAAGAGCCTTGATACCATGAGGAAGCTGGTCCTGCCTCCCTTGAGCCGTGAGATCCAAAAGCTGATTAGTAACTAGCAACCCTTCAACTCCCCTCTCGTACCCCGAATACGTGTGGTACACACCTCCCCGCGGTCCAATAATAAACACACTCAACCCACTCTGCTCACCCCTAGTAAAGAACAACTTTCCTTTCTGTTCAAGAGATTCCTTGTCCTCCCAATTTGACATAACAGGCGCAACGCTCTCGTCATTCGTTGCATGAAAGTGATAATTGAAGTCACTTCCAAAGGAGGAGTACCACGGCATCGTCCAGCCCATCCTCTTCTTGAAAGCTTCGATCTGCTCAAGTGGAGCGCGGGAGACCATTGCAAAGGTCGTGTCGCGAGAATGCAAATGCTGGAGATACACGGGGACGTTATCAGCAACGAAGGAGCACCCGACGCAACCTTCTTTCTGATCGGGACCCAGCATGAAGTGGTATATGATTAGCTGCTTGCGGCCTTCAAAGAGATCGGCGAGAGTAAGAGGTCCATTGGGTCCATGGAAGGAATACGGCTCGTCCACTTTGACGTGGGGGAGTTGGCGGCGTTGTTCTGCGAGAGCGTCGCCAGCTTTGGTATATTCCTTTTCCTTTTCGAGGAGGAGCTTGCGGGCTGAAACCCACTCTTCGCGTGTAGTATTCTGTAGGAAGGTTAATTTTGACTCATCAATTGGGGCCGAGGTTCCTCACTTGGAAACCCATTCTTTGCTGATGGTTGAAGTGTGGTGTGGTCGAATCGCGAGGCGACAATTTTGTTGGAATATGAGTGCAATGTGTTTGCTAAGTCGATGATGGTCTGTTTGCTGGAAGAAAAACTTAGACGGATAGAACATTGAAGGAGTTTTATATTATTTCCAAGTCGGCAAAGGATAAGGTTGATCGTTCTTCGGACTCTGTACGGACTCCGCTTTCTTCCTGCTTTCAAAGCAAGCTCCCATTTTGACGCCGGGCTTCATAATCGCAAGTACGAAAGTTACTAGCATGAGATTTTGTTCCCCTGTTCATTGCTTGGGCGCAGCGCGATGGGAGTTCATGGCTGGAGGTGAACCCATACAAGGTGTGCGTTACACCCAGAGTTCGGCCGTCTTACGCGTACGTGACGCGAAGGGGCTTAGGAGAATGACGAAACCCCTTACACTTGGTCGCGAAACCACGTGAAAGGCGGGGATGATTACTATTACAGGTCTCATCTTAAGTAAGCATATCTGGCTTGCATGGCATTATTGGACGGCCATATAACATGTACGGCCGTAGAGAGGCGCCCCTTGTTGTGTGCTTGTCAATCAAATGAACAACGAATAGACTCAACTTGAATTATAATTTCTAGTATTGATCAAGAATGGAGCGCAACTTAATTGTGCATGAAAATCCCAAGGCTTGTGCCGTTCGAACTCCCGTGGGCCGTGAGCAAATAGCAAGAGACACAAGACCGAATTCTCAAGGGTGGTTTATACTGGCATCGTGCTTGATCCATACGGAACCAAACACTTCAGAAATTTAAGATTTGAATTATTGGCTTGCGAGCCATACAAATTATGAATATCAGTCTTCATAATAATAAACCGTATGGGGCGAACGGGGCGAAGATCTCCGTCCCTCGACTAACAGAATAGTCGCCGAACTTGTTAAGATTGGCTGAATTCACTCTGCCCTGAATCGCGATCCTATATTTCCCTCCATTTCCCTCAATACTCCTATATGAACTCTTTTGCGTACATTTCTGCAGTCGCAACCTTGGGCGTGGAGAGTTTCGAGACCGCATGCAAAACGCACCTCCATAGCAAGCTTGAAACCCTCGTCAGCGTTAGACAAGCAATTTTGGCAACCCATTCCCTGATACGATACCCGCCATTCGTCAGGTGCATTCGTGCTATCAAAGCAACGTGTTCGAGCCGAAGATGTCAGTCACCTTGAGCCTGTAGCGCTACCATTTAAAACGCCCAGGCAAAACCACTTCACGAGGCCCAGCAACAGCCAATAGTGAGACCTCTCTGCCGGAGTTGACAATTGAGGACGTCAAATTGGAAAATTTGGCTTGCGAAGGACCTCTGGAGTGGTTCCCGTTTGGAGAAAGGGAAGAGGCTGCCCATATGACTCCTGAGACGAATCGCGTCGAAACAGTACAGTGCGATTGGATTTCCACAGGGGACAAAGTCCGAACAATAGTAGTGCTAGAGCATCCAAGACCTTGATTGAGACTTACCAATTCCGAGTTCCGAGATTTCACCGACTTCGAAAGCAAGATATCAAACGGTTGTTGGACCGGAGTCCGGACCCTGAATTTTTTTTTTTTTTTTGGCTAACGGCCTCTCAATTAGTCACCACTACAGGTTTCGTCGATATAGCTTCGAAATTCAGCTTTCCCAAGGAGTCAAAATTGCGGACCAGGGTCTCGTCGTACTGGGGCCGCATACGTGGTGGGAGACCTCGGACGGCGGGATGCCAAGAATAATCCTCAAACGCCGAATTTCATGGGACTGAACAGTTCGTTGGACGAAAGAAGACGATGTATAATTCTTTAATAGAGTAAAACATAAACCAACAGCTTATCTCTGGCGAGATCTAACAATAATTAATAAGCGTCCACCATTACTAGAACCTCTTTCACTTCAATGGAGGTTGGCACAGCACGACGCAAAGTTGCTGTACCACCATATAGGACAACTCGGGTGCCAAATTGAGCCGCAAGAGATTGTTAAGCAGTTTGTGTTTGAGCATGTACTGTACTTGAAAGCAAGAGCTACTGTCAACTCGGAGACTTTTTGGGGAGTATTTCCTGAAGAATTTCGAGCAGTAGGAGAATCATTTGTCTCACTAACAGACGCTGTCATCGTGACGGAGATTGGGAATCTCCCAAATACACGGCAGAAAACGATAGGTAAAGTTAGCAATCGTCAATAAATCAGCGACTCTACTGGCTCTCAACTGCACTCATTATCTACGGAACCAGCGTCAAAACTGGAGAAAATATTCTACTCAATTCTTTCTTATGCACAAGGTGCGAAGCCAATTTAGCTGGTGCATTCTTCTGGACTTATGTTCATCACCGCTTGAAGAAGCTCCACGGGAAATCGGAATCTCGCAACCTCTACCATCTTGCACATCTAATCCAGCAATTTCTTCAGTACTTTTGTTATCGCACGTTCACGCCCTTCTTTCGGCCTTCTGCAATTTATTTGGACTTCGTGCCACATCATCAAGCCCAAACAACTGACACAAAAGCGGGCAAATGGGGTGATGACTTAAAGTCCAATTAATATCTAGCTAGTTTTCACATCTCAATGCTGACAGTAATACTGAGTAGTGATATCGAACAGTGATATCCCCCTTGAGTTCTTTGAAGTTGTTCCGCCTTCCGTTCAAGTCGCCAAGTCCGTCCAGCCAATACTGTACTGGCCTCCTGTTGATTGGTTCTTGACATAGTCACGAGTCACCCTCGTGCTGACGTGAATGCCGATTTTCATAGTCTTTATCTCAATTCGACTCTGCACTCTTCCTTGAACCTCGACCCCTTTTGTCTCACATTTCTTTCAAAATTCACCTCCCTTCAAGAGTAGCTGCGGAAGGGTTCTGCCATGCGTGATCGACCTCGAATCTAGCCTCATTAGGATGGCAGTCTGTACGAGCCTAGCCAAATTGAACACGTTGTAAGCGCAGATTCGGCCAATGGTCAGACAACATTCCCACTGCCCTGGCAATGCAGCAACGGCTGAATCGTAGTGGCTGACCACATCCTTGCTGACTGCCCGTGCTCTTCAATTAGCACTCCGTCAATTGGCGTGATCTTCTTGAACGATAACCTCTCACCTTCGGACCCAAGTAGCATTAGAACTCAAAGTCCTTTTGTAACACAATATATTGTATTTCCCCCCTGGTTTCATTCTTGACTTATGGAGCCTCCACTTCAGATTGTGAAAGGCGGGGATGGTATCTTGCGGGATGTCCACGATCGGCCGATGATTGTCGTCTTTAACGCAACAAAGAGTGATCTCGGTGCCATTAAAGGTGGTGGCGTAAGTCTTGCAGCAAGCGCAAGTGCAAAATGTTCACCATTCGCATTCGTGCATGAGGATGGACTGACGAAAGAAGACGGGGCGGCACGAGCTTTGATACGGACTCATGTTATGCGGGATCACTTCAGGCGAAAACGAGAGAAGGCAATTCAAAAACGCCAGTCCGGACATTTCGACGCCGAGAATCCTAAAGAATCCATTCCAGCTAGCGTCCTCTGGGCTGATGACCCTTTTGGGACTTGCTCGCTTCCGCCTCAGCCATCTGGGATCTTAGATCATTTTGCACAGTATCCAATCGAGATGACGCCTCGCACACACCAACTGGTCAATCACTGTAAGTGCACTGATTAGATAACATTTTCAAATGGCTCAACTGATTTGGCAGATGTCACTATCATTGCAGGATTAGCGCAGCCGGGGGCGTTCAACTATATGTACAGTTTTGCCGCAGGACTGAGGGATCAAGCATTGTTTCACGTGCTGCTACTAACGTCGGCACTTCACCTGTGTTACTTGACGGGGAGAGTAAACTGGGAAGAAACTGGAAAAGGCCCGTCGACTGAAATTATCTCTCACAAGCTCATAGCCATCCAGAAGGTTAATGAGAAGTTGCGAGATTCCGCTACGGCAATCTCTGATCAAGTGATTCATGCTGTTACATTTTTGGCAATGGCTGAAGTAAGGTCCATCTCTATCTAGCTTGGAAAAGTCGCACTAATTGCATCTGCCAAACAGAGTGTGAACTGCTTGGGGGGAGACAAAGCCGCTGCAAATGCTCATTTAGACGGCTTGAGTCGGATGGTAAAGGTCCGCGGGGGACTAGAAGCTCTCGACCACGACATAGTACGCAAGATTTGCCTGTAAGAACTCCTCAGTCTTCCAGATTTTAAAATGCTCTTTCTCACGTAATCAGCGCCGACTATTTGTGCTGTGTGGAACATGACCAACAACCACGCTTCAAGCCCCCTCCTTCCGGCAAAGATACAGACCAGAAGGAGCATGTACTTCGAAGAGCTCGACTACCTTGGCCGCACATGCAAAGAATTGAATATTCATCGATGGTAGAGGTGCCGGCTGGGTTCCAATGTCTTCAGACTCTTGTCCACCTGGACGACGAGTTTATTAACATCGTCCGCAGCATCGAAAATTTCTGTGTAGTCTTTCGCGAGGTGCATTCCTCTGGTGACAAACAGACGTTGCGAGTCACAGACTTTGATGCCACTTCATTACGATATCGCCTTCTATGCATGGAATCCGCTCGGCGATCAGCTACTCACGAAGAATTAATTGGCGACGCATGTCGTGTTGGAGCGCTGGTCTTCTTGAAGACCGTCTTCGACCAGTTCGGCTGGTGGGGTACGGCACACATCGTGCGGGGACGAAGACACACGACTATTCTCGAGAAGCTCAAGGTTTATCTTAAGAGGATTGATTCTAGCGTGGATGCTCTCAAGACTGAGTGCCTGGAGCTGGAGCTGTGGTTGACGTGCATGGCAGGCTTGCTACCACTGCAACACATTAATAAACTGTGGTTTGGCTCTTGCCTCGAGGTTGTGGTTACAAAGCTACGTCTCAAGAGCTGGGAAGAAGTGGAGGCTGTGCTTAGAAAGTTTCTTTGGATTGAATGGATACATGGACGGGCGTGCAAGGCATTTTGGGAGGATGCACAAAGAGGTGAAAAGCAGGCCATGCCGGGAGTCTTGTCATAACACAAGGTTGTAGCGAAAGGTCTCTTGGCTTGCTTCAATTCTAAGCCATCACCACTCACTTCTCTCCTCTAACTAAGGCCCGTTCCAGGACGGCTCATGTGATTTCCTCATCTCAACCAGTGCTCCGTTAGAAGATTCTCACCTGGAGATCGCCAACAACTGCCCGAATAACAAGCTAATGTATCGCAGCTTGAGGATGATAGTTGTTCCACCGCAAGCAATATTTGCCATCGGAGTTGAAACAAGGGGCGTCAGGAGCACCATAGCCGGACGGACTGCTAATTGTCGTGTTGAACGCCGTCTGTGTGTCGACCAAGGCGTCGTTCGCTTCGAGATTCGCTGGCTTGAAAGCAGCGATACGTGTTGGCATCTGCGAGTTTCAATTGGCGACAACAACCTTGAGAGTAGTCACGTTGAATTGAACTATCAACTGCGGTGACTTGTCTGTTACTACGCAACTATAAGCGTGCTCTTTTGGACAACAAAGTGGGTATGGGAGACTCGCGGGGGATGCTAAGAATAGCAAACTTTCGTGCTCCACTCGAGTACAAGGACAGGAGACAGGGAAGTAGTTATCCAAGTCCCTATTTATCCACGCGTCTTCTCCTGATTGCGAATACGTGTCACTTACATCGTTGACACCAAGCCAGACGGCAAAGAGAGAGCTTTCAGCGGTCCATGGCGCATATGTGGGGTGTGTCACTGTGGTTGGAGATTCTTGGTCCAAAGCTTTACGTACTCTACGAACGAGCGTATAAATCTGGACAGTGTAATTTGCATGAGCATGGTGGTACTTACAGCCGTTGCACCAGCTGATGCCAGGTCGTATGTCAGGGTTAACGAAGTGTTTAGTTGGGTGGTGAGGACTTCCGGCAAAGTCTTGAAGTCGAACATACTCTGGGCAGGGTTGCCTATCGGATTGGATGCCGAGGATTTCGTGCCGCTAATGCTAAAACTTGATGAGCTATACGAATCGCCGCTATCCCAACATCATATCAGCATATGCTCGACAGCCTTTAATATTAGAATAGACACTTAAAAAGAAAATATAATTATATAAAATAAAGAAAGTAAAAGCTTATATAATTAATTAAGGGAAATAATAATAATAAAGCTATTAAAATATTATAATATATATAAAGTCGCATATAATTACAAGTTATATAATAAATACAATAGCGGAATTAATATAATAGTTAAAGGTTTAAAGTTTAAAGAATTTTATATATTAGAAAATATTAAACTATAAAATAAAATAAGGAAAATGCCTTAATCTTTTAGTATTATTTTACCTAAATATTTCGGCTTAGCTCTATTTTATATCTATTTCTAATATTCTGTTTTTAGTAAATTATACTATTATATTAGTTATTATAATAAACTTTAAATATTATAAATATTAATTAAAGAAATTAATAGTCTTTTAATATTATAATTATATTACTATTTATATTATAGGCTTTAGGCTTATAAATTATTAAATACATATATTATTAGGGCCTCTTATTTAAAGAAAGCTTTTCTAAACTTTATAAGAGAAATATAAATTAGTTTTATACTAAATTTAATACTATAGTTTTATAACTTACTAATTTATTTTATTATTTTATTATTTATTAATAATATTTTATAAATATATGTTTTTATATTACTTTATTTAAGTTTTATATAATAGTATTTTATATAATTCTTAAAGTAATAAGAAATTATAGTTTTTAAATTAATATCTTTTTATTAAAGAATTTGTAATATTTTTTATAATAAGCTTTTTTAATTAACTATAATAAATTTGTTGCTAAATTAGTTTTAAAATAACTAATAATTATAATTATAACTTTTAAGAAACAAAAACAAGTATAATAACAAATATATTTTCTATTTAAAGAAATTATATTTATAAATAAGAAGAAAAATAATATAATAAGTTAAAACTCGCTTTATATATTTAATTAAAAGCCTTTAATAAATTATATTATTATATAATATATCTTATTTAATTATTAAAGCAATTATATATTATTTAAAGAATTCTATTTAGTTAATTAAACTGTTAGTATTATGCTCTGCCGCTTTACTGGGAAATTTAGCGTCACGTGACCGCGATAACACATACGGCTGGGGCTAGTATTTAGAACACCAAGCTCCCGCACTTACGAGCTTCCCTCCTTAGTTTAGAATTCTCGGAATAGAGCTACTCTATCTTGCTTTCCAAGCCCAGAGACCCGGTCTCGTAATAATTAGTCTTTTTTATATAAAAGCTTAACCCGTAATAACTTCTTATATATAAGTCTTTCTTTTATATAAATATTTTTTATATTTAATACTTTTATTAAAAAAAATTCTTAAATAAATCTATTTTTAATATTTTAAAAGCTCTAGAATTTGAATCTTATTTGCTATTATTATATCTATATTATTATTAAAAATACATAAATAATAATTTTTATTTATTTAATTTAAGCTATTAAAAAAAATTAATAATAAAATACTTCTTTTAAATAAAATAAACTTCAAATAAAACTTGAGTTATTAGAACTTCTAAATATATATAAAAGCTTATATATTTTATTTATTTATTTATTAAGATTTAGTTAATATAAAATTATTATAATTAATTGGGAACTAGCCTCTATATTCTTTCTTTTATTACAAACTTCAAAAGTAAGTTTATTTTAAGTAAAGGAAGATATAATTTTAGATTATGCTTTTATATATAAATAAGCACACATGGAATTATATAAGCTCATTCGAAACCTGATTAAAAGGGCCCGAACGAGCAGGAATGTAAACCTTACGTCCTTGTTACTCTTTCCAAACACATTAGCTTACGACGGAGATAGGGGGCTGTTCCACCTCTCTTTAAGGATTTTACCTCACCGAAGGTTCCTTCTTCATTATTGACACCTGTTCATCGATAAAAATTTGATTAAGCCGACGAAGACCTCGCATAGCCGCGAGAGACCAAACTCTTTCCGAGACAGAACACCTTGCTCACGTTTTATCGTCTCTCCGCCCACACTGAGGGCCGCAAGATCCTACAGCCATCACAGAAAGCTCTGAGACTCAATGAACGAATGTCTACGATTTAACTACTGAAGATACATGAAATCGCCAGACCGCCTCAACCCGTCATCCCCTCCTCTACAGTTGTGCTTTCTTACCCTCCAGGCCCCGCCTCCATTTCCGGGATTGTCGGGCCCATATAGCCAGGCGCATGGCTATCCCTTGGCGTGCGGCTGAAATTCGATTCGTAAGGTGAGCCCGGTGTATCGCTGACTGGAGGCGAGCCAGAGAGGACGCCTTCTTTGTTCTGGACAGAGTAACCAGCGGTTGTTCCTGAGTGCGGTTGGCTCACGTAACTTCTCCGCTCTTGCAGTGGATAGGGATTTGCTTGCTGCTGGAGTGCTTGCATCTCTTGGCGATATTTGCGTTGGTTTCTGAGCAGCAAGAAGACCAGGAAGGCGACCAAGGCAATCACAGCGATGCTACCGATCACGATTCCGGCGGTTGGGCCGCCGCCCAATCCGCTCTTTGTGCTGCTTGAAGTAGCTGTCGATAATGTAGAGAGCGCTGCGAAGGTTGAGGAGGTAGATGTTAGTGGTGAAGAAGTTATGAGTGGGCCACCGTTACTAGTCGTTGTGCTCAGTAAAACCGATACCCTATAGCCTATTGCAATAGCGCAGCCATATCCTACTGATCCACCTTCGTAATTATACGTCGCGCAGTATGGTAATGTGGAGGAACTAAATAAGGGTAAGTCTCAGTCTCTAACACTCGATATTTCACTAACCAAACCAGGTTCCCAATATTATTTTGACAATTAGCATCGCATATCGACCCTAGGAGGTCGAAACATGTTGTGACGATTCCGGCACAGCTAGTAGTCGCGCAGCAACCAACGTATGTACTCTCGGTTGCACAATAGAAGTTACTGCCGCAGCTCACTGCTGAAGCTATTTTCCAACGCGAAAATTCAGCGAAAGACTCCTATACAGTCGAGTTTGAGAATATTGAGACACGGGATTTTTTATCAAACGGGTTTCCGTACCTGCATTCCCCCCAATCCAACCACAAATGGGATTCTGCTGGTTTGTGGCCCTCGCCTTTAAATCTGTATTGAAGGTCCCAGTAGTAATAGTTGGCACATTGTCCCAGCCCAGAGCTGAACTTTGTAGCGTGGCCCAAGTTGGAGTAGGGGCGAATTCCAGTGCGTTTAAAGTATCAAGAGCATATATAAGAAATATAATAGACCACGGGGAAGGCATTGTGTAAAAGCATTTATAATTCTTCAAACTTCAGAAGGCATTCTGCTTAGGCGAGAGTCTCTACTGTATTGGAGAAATAGTTAGTTTTGTACTCCCAACCCAGCGTGTGGTGGTGATACAGGAGTGGCTTGGAGCATCAAGCCCTTGCGGCCAAACGCGGCCCATGAGTATCAATTTGCCGACCTCTTAAAGGTAGAGGAATTGTCACTGGAGCTCGCTGTAAAAACTTCGCCTCTCGGTATGCAAAAGGCAATCGAATCATGGCAGGGTGATCGGCGGCAGCTGAGGAGCTGCAGGGTGAAAGACAGCAGCTGAGGAGCGGCAGGGTGAAGTGGTCTGACTAGTCTGACCAACCGTGATCGAACGTGGCTGATTTGCCCCACCTTTGTCGGGACTTTCCATTTCTCGCGGCTGCAGGCTCTGAAGATGTGATTCGCAGCTTCTTTAGTCTCACCATGCGCGAGCCAGCTGCTTAACGACTAATTAAGAGCTTGTGCTTGCCTCTGACAGCTGCATTTCCAGTATCGATCACAGAGCCAGATCAGCACTCAAAATGAAGCTCTCTCTAAAAGTTTGCATCCTTACCTTTGCTTCTTACTTTTTCCTTGTTGCCCAAGCAGTATCTTTTGTCCAGGCTATCTCAACCTACCCACAACTTTCCAACTTTACAAGCCTCCTTATTTCAAACCCTGGCCTCGCGGAACCCTTCTATTCAGTCTCTTACTCTGCACCGCAGACAGTCCTAGTTCCGGACAATAACGGTAAGCTTATTCCGAAACCAAATTGCTATCTTTTTGTTTGAGAGCTCAGAGCCCAGGAGTATTCTGGGAACTATCACTCCTGTTCATCTTAAGAGCTCGGCTCCTTAGCCCCTGAATCCCTTCTTACAAATCAGGAATTATATATACTTACTCGGCAATAGCGTTTCTAAGCTTCCAGGAAGTTACTGGCCAATTATTCGCAAACCAGCCATACATTTATCTACAGAATATTATTAACTACCAGCTACTAAATGGCAACCTTACGTTCCAAGACTTTCTTCATCCAGCAGGTCTTACCGTACCAACTGGACTTACAGGTCCAACCTATAATAATAGGACAGCAGGAAGTGCATTAATATCCTCAAGTGCCTCAACTGGGAACTATAATGGCCAGGTAGTATTTATTGCTCCAAATACTATGTCTACTAGCTTTAGTCCCCGGAAATTGGGCTCTACCGAAGCCTATGTGCAATCGGGTCTCGGCCACCAAGTTAACCTGACTATAATTGATGGTATTTGGGACAGTGGAATATTCCAAATTATAGATGGGTATTTGCCCCTGCTCTACTATTATTAAAGCCAAAGCTTACGGACTAATAGCTTCCTAACCCTCCCCGAGATTTGCACTCAAACAATCCGAGCATGGGGTCTCAAATCCCTTGATTTCTCCCTCAACCGTACAGGCCTTTCATCAGTACTTGACCATTTGAACAATGTCACATGTCTAGGTCCGAATGACCAAGCATTTCTGCAAGCAGGTAGCCCAGATATCAAGGACAATATCACTGAGCTTGCTTCGGAATATTTAGCCTTACATACTATTCCTCAGCCGTTATACTCGAACTTCCTGCAAGATGGCCAGACTTTTATGAGCTTGAGTAATGATACGATCAGGGTTACGATCCAAGATGGAGCTATATATTTCAATGATGCGAAAGCGATCCAACTGAATGTTCTGTAGGTGATCTATTCAATTGAAACATCGGCAGAGTTTTATTTTCGATCAATTGACTGACTAGATCTCAGCACAAATAATGGTCTCATGCACGTGCTTGACCGGGTGAGTCATCCACTCTAATGATCTCCAACTTGTAATAAATACTGATTCAGAAACAGATAATGTCGCCCTTAGAGAGCACAAGTGCCAGTCCATCCACAACAGAGTTATCCTCGCCTACTACAGCAGTGACAGTTACGGCAACTCCCAGCTCTACAAACAAGTCATCGAGCGCTTCTCGAGGTTTGACACTTGAGCCATTGGGCTGGAGGATGTTTGAGGTTTTGGGCTTTATCTATAGCTACATTTTCCTAATCCTCTAAAGCCCTCGTGGCCGAGATTAATAGGGGATGTGATTATGAAGACTGTTTAGTTAGTAATTAGCGCTAGTGAAGGAAGCTGGGGGCAGGGCTGCTTTCAGTGTGAGAAAGAAATACTCACGGTATCATGAATCAATATTCTCCTTCTGAAGTTCTATATGGGGTTAGTAAGCTTGCTGCTCTTGCTCAGGCGCTAATCAGCCTCGGCTCACCCTCGGCTCAGTCGACTCGCCTAAGTAACCAAAGCACCCTGAGTGCCCTAAGCAGCTCACCTGAGCAGGCCTGATTATTCTGAACAAGATTAACTATATTGGCACCTAATTTGACTTCCTACGTTTTAGCGAATTATACTTAATCTATCCTCCGTTCTCTCATATCATTTTTGTCAAGTTTTAACGAATGCTTCGCTATCTAATAGTATATTAAAAAATAATTAAGGCTAATTAATTAGAATTATAATGCACGTAAAGATCGCAGAGTAGGGAGTTGCATTGAATGGTAAAAGAGTTGATTGAACTAGCTAGAAAAGAGCTTGAGTGAAGTGTGAAGCTTCAGGAAGTGCACAGATCCTGACTAAGCAAAGCGATCGCGCTAGCCCTAATTCAGTAATTCTCACTGCGATATATCCCCCAGAAAGGTACGATATCGTATTCTATCTGTTCTATCTAATCAGAGAGCTTTGAAATGGCGAAAATCGTCTGATATATGGGTTTTGCAGAGCCGCATTAATATTCCGAACTAAATAGGTTTAGTATATATCGTTTTCCCAGATTACCGAATTCCAGGAGAGCCCTATATAAAGCCCCCCTTTCTACTAACTCTAGAGCCTCTAATTAAACTGCTTTTCTTTAATATCTTTCTAGAGCTCTTTTCCCAAGCTTCTAATTATTGCAAACATGGCTTATACTAGTTCCACTTCTTTTTATACTACTATTAAGTTAATTCCGGCTTATAAATCCAAGATATTTTTAATCTAAAATAAGTTCTTGCTTTATCTTTTACTAACTTTAAATAGTATTAAATAGCTTGCAAGTCTGCTATAGATATAGCTCTTAACTATTAATATAAAGCTTATATTTAATAGAATATTAAGGTTTAGATTTCTATTATATCTTTTAATACTTCTAGTATTTCTTTACTAAAAGTAAAAAAGGCTATATTAAAACCTTATATTTCCTATCCTATTTATACTAGTTCTAGAGAGATCTCTTATATAAGTTATTATAAGTTCTTTATACTATTTCAAAGCTCGTTTTAATTTAATATAGTCTTTTCTATTCTAAAGAGTAAAAGTAATAGTTATTACTATAATATTATTAGTAGAGATTCTTATTACTAGAAATATATTTCTGGTTATTTTTATACTACTATTCCGATTTCTTATATTTCTATTATATAGCTCTTTTTTACTAAACTCTCGATTACTAAAGATATTATAAGCTTCTTTTTCTTAATTCTCTTTATAGATTCTAATTCTTTTAAAGCATTTATTTATTTTTAGGTATTCTATTTATATTATATTTGAGATTACTAAATTTAATAAAGAAAATAATAGTAAGAGCTCTTTTACTAAGGCTTAGAAGGCTATTAAGAAAAATAAGAAATAGTCTAATTAGATAAAGAGCCTTTTATATAAGCTTATTAATACTATAATAAAGCGCTTTTAAATTTTCTACTATTTAGCTTTTAAGTTCTATTATTTTAATAGATTTTATAAATAAAAGATATAAATAAAAGCTTCTTTTTATATTATTTAATTATTTTTGTTTTTATTCTAATATTCTAAAGATTTAATAAAGCTTTAAAGTTCTTGAATTTAAATTAAAATAGATTTTTTATAAGTTTATTTCTTAGTATATTATTTATTTAAAGATATATAATTTAAAAAATATCTTTATTATACTTTTAATATAACTATATATTCTAAATATTAATATAATAAAGCTTTATAATAATTCTTTTATTCTTTCTAATAATTAATTAAATAATTTACTTATTATTATAAAATATAGTCTATAGCTTTATAAAATCTAAATATAAATCCCTAAATAGCCTTTAAAGGGCTATAGCTTCTTTTATTATATAAGCGATTTTATATATTTCTAATTTAATTAAAGAAATAATTATAGTATTTTATTAAATAGCTTTTTATAATATTAAACCTCTAAATAAAGAAATTATATATTTATAGCTTAATTATTATATATCTAGGTTATTTATAAATAAAGTATTAAATATAATCTATAATTATATCTTTTTATATTTCCTATTATATTAAATTATTAAAAATCAGGTTTTAAACAGGTATTAGAAAGCCTAATTTATAGTTATAAAGTATTTTAAAATAGGGTTTATTAAGAACTAAAAAAGTACTAAAGTAATAAAAGCTATATCCGGTTTAATTATAATTATAATATAAAGTATTATAATCTAATTTTTTTCTAATATATCTCAATTTAATATAAATAAGCTTAATTATTATATTTTTAAAGATTAATTTCAGATAATAAAATATTAAAGTATTTCTTATTTACTATTTTAAACTTTTTAGTAATTTTCTTAATATAGATATTATATACTAGCTAGAGCTTTTTAGCTTTCTAATCTCTAATTATATAAATCCCTAGAAATTATTTTATATTTCATATATTATAAAGTTTATAAATTCTTTTAATTTAAATAATAATTAATTAAATACGTGTTTTATTATTTTTATAATAAAGTATTTAAAAGTAATTTATATAGAAAATAATAAGGATTTTATAATTTATATTTATATAAATATAGGACTTTTTATTAAGTCTAGAAAGTCTAATTTTCTTAAAAATATTTATTTAATATTTATACTATAAAATAGGAAAGTATTATAGCTTATATAAAGCTTAATTTATCTCTATTATATAGCCTGATATCTTAAAACTATCTAATAGCTTATATATTATTATAGGCTTATTAGAATTTCTTTTTATATTAATAAATATATTTATAATATTAAATTATTTTATTTCTAAATTAAAATAAGCTATAATTATACTAGTTATTTAAAAAAAACCTTATTATAAATAGAAGTAATATCTTTTTCTAAAAATTTCTATAAATTACTAGTTTTAAATAATACTAAATAATATATTTATTAGAATTAATTTTATATATAAATATTTATTTTAAAGAAATTAGAAATATATTTACTTTATTACTAGAAATAATTCTCTAGTAATTTTGAGCTTTAAAGTTATTAATCTCTAGTTTAGTATCTAATTTAAAATATTTTCTAACTAGATATTTCTTTAGATTATTTCATGTTTTTAGAGCTTTTTAGAGATTATTAATATGAATTTTCCTTATTATTATATTATCTAAAGCTTTTTATTCTAAATATATTCTTAATTAAACTATTATTATAATTATAATATATATAGTCTTATAATTAAATTTCTTCTTATAATTCTTTAGCTAATTAGACTAGAAAAACTCTAAAAAAATCTCTAAATAATTAATCTAATTTCATTTACTTATTATTTATAATAATATATTTATTATAGTAATTATATTATTATTAGCTTTACTTAAATCTCTATTTTAATTATTTCTCTTATATAAGTATATTTAGATTAGTTTATTTTTAGTTTTAATAATTAGCTTTTTTATTTATTTTCTTTTTAGCTTTACTATTTAATTTTTTATTTTAATTAAGCTATTTATTTTTCCTATAAAGAATTTTCTTAATTCTATTAAGCTTTCTATTCGTTTTATAAATAAGTTTCCTGCTTTATTTATAAAAGCTATTAGTAAATCTTATTACTAGTTCTAAGGAAATTCTTTTCTACTTTTATTAATTTAGTATATTTCTCTAATATTTCCGGTATATTCTATTATATTTCTTTTTATTATATTAAGTTTTCTTAAAAACTTAATACCTTTATTTCTATTATTTATAGGCTCTAGTATATTTTCTGGTTTTAAAATACTTTATAAAGTTATAAGTTCTATTTCTAGTAAAGTTATAAAGCTTTTTATTACCGAATTATAATCTATTAATATATTTATAAGCTCTTTTAATTATTAGTTTATTTATTTATTATTTTCTAGTTCAGGCTCATTTTCTATTTATTCTAATAAGTTATTATATTATAATTCTTTATTATTAAAGATTAATTTAGTATCTTAAATTTTATTCTTTAGAAATAGTTCTATTATATCCTTTATAATCTTTATATTATGGCCTTTAGTATATTTATAATTCTTTTTATAAAGAATATTCTTATTAAATATAATATTATATATAATAATTACTTTATTAAATACAAGAATCCAGATTTTATAAATATTAGATATAATATATTCTTAAATACTTTTTTATTTTATTCTATTTTATAGTTCTTAATTATTAAATATATCTCAGAATTATATATATAGATCCTATTCTAATTAGGCCTGAAATAATTAATTATTATTTATATTATAAGTTCTAAATTATATTAATAGAAATAATTATAGAATTATAAATCGAATACTTTATTTAGTATTTTCTAGTTATTTATATATAAATAGCTTTAATTATATAAGCAAATTACGGTTATAGAGCTTTTTAGCTATAGCTTTTTAAGTAAATTAATTATTAAATATATTATAATAGCCTTATTTATAATTTCTTATTTTATTTATTTAGTATTACTATTTGGCTTATATATATATAAAAAAGAAAGCTCGATTTTAATATTTTATTTCTTTATTTAGATCTAATAAGCTAATATTTCTTGA